ACTCCCTCACGTGGATATACATGGACAGTTAGTCAGTTAAGAAAGACAGGCATTGAACTACCTTACGCAGCCAGTAAGCCAAAGGTTATGCTGGGTGACTGTCTGTAGTTGTGGCGACTCTCTCTCTCTCTCTCTCTCTCTCTCTCTCTCTCTCTCTCTCTCTCTAAGAGGTAAAGAGGTAATAACATAATTAACAGTGATAGCAGTAAAAATGATAATAGTATCGATGATTAGAATATTGACAATGATATTGGTAGTTAAAATGACTATAATCACGTTAATATTTTTTTTAATAATTTTAATAATAATAATAATAATAATAATATGCATAAATAATTTGATAGATAGATAGATGAAAAACACGAAGAAGCAACTAAGATGATGGTCAGTGTAGAGGTAAAACAGTAAGATACAGTATACACTAACTCCTGTACACTGTGGTGAGGTGGCCGGCGACAGGTAGCTCTCCACACCACACGGATATCTTTATTACAGACAGCTGGAATGTGGGCAGGTGAGCTCAAGAAGTCTTGCCCACGGATTCCCAAACCTTCCTTATGCTAATTGAGTCTTTTTAACTGGGTGAAATGTAACTAGTTATGGTAGAATTTAAGGTGTGCTAATTGAGTACTATATATGTGTCGTATCTTGAGTCATTTAGATGTGTTTTATGACCTGTAGATTAGCCCCATAGCTTATTTCACCTGGTGATTAATTACCCTATAACTCTACCTCATGGGGTGTGGTGAGGTTAGGTTAAACTTGGTTAGGTTTGGTTGTGGTTGGTTAGGTTAGCGTTATGTGACAGTAGGTTAGGTTGTTCTTGGTTAAGTTAGCGGCGTTAAAGTGGTTAATCGTAAAGTGAAAATAGTTGGTGTTGTATAATCTTCAGGTTATCCGAGTTAACATATGAGCTACTGAGAATCCCAAGCCGTGGCCTGGTCTGGCCTGGCCTGGTCTGGCCTGGCCTGGTCTGGTCTGGCCTGGTCTGGCCCACCTGTACTGTTAGTTGCCTCAGTTTATGTTTGAGTTATATTAACGTGGTGAGTGAGTCTGGCGAGGGTGATGCGTGCTGAGGGTGGGGGTGGTGGCGGGCGGCTGAGGGTGGCTGGTGGGGTATCAGACAGGTGGGCGGCGGTGGAAGCGGTGTTGGGCTAGGTGGCAGAAGGTGGGTGGTTGGATGGCAGGTGAGTGGTGGGTGAAGTTGGTGGTAACGGTAGTAGTGGTGGGTTTGGCAAAGGGTGGGTGGATGGTGGAAGTGGGTAGTGGTGGTTGGTTGGGTGGCAAAGGGTGGTGGGTGGGTGGATGGGTGGCTGGCAGGGCGGGTGGGCGGGCGGGCGGGACGGTGGGTGGTGGAGGTAGTGGTGGTGGTGGCGGGGTTCCCGCGGGCCCGCCTCACTCACTCTCGCCCCAGCTACCGATTAGTAACTCCCACCTCACAGTTGTTCCCGGCGCGCGTCCCCACGAGTGCCGTGTGCTGCCGTCTCCTGCACCGCCAGTACCTCACCACCCGCCCCTCACCTCACCCTCACCTGGTTTGAGTTGTGATACCATTGTGTGCAAAGGTGGGAACGAGATTTGAAATTGTGAAAGTGTTCGCTGCTGATGGCATTTGGTGCTGAAAATGAGTGATAAACATGTGTGTGCACGTGACGAACGAAGCTGATTGGCTAATGCCTTGGCCAATAACTTATCCGGGCAGCCAATGACAGGACGATGTTGGCGTTTCAGGTGTTTGGCGGGAAACAGGCACAGCTCCCCTCAGGGCAGCATGGCTACCAAACTTGAAGGCACTTGGTGCTCTTCAAGTCAGAAAAGGTGAAGCACTGCAGCTGTCAGGTTGTCCATGATGAGTCTTACAAGGGAGAAGTTGCAGAAGGGTGTGTGGAGGGTGTGAGCTCACTGTGATGGCTAGAGGCCGCAACTGAGGACCTCCAGCAAGTACAGTGAACTGGTCAAGACAGTCTGCGACCTGATGATGTGATATAAAACTTTTACTTGTCCAGACGCTACGCTGGCTGGCCTTGGTACTCAGAGGCGCCAAGGAAATTAAAGTCACAGATGTTATGATAAAGTCTGTGAGAACACCTGAACTATTCAAGACTTGGAGACAGCTGTACAGAAGTCATAGTCATAAAGCACAACTGTCAGATGCCGTACAGAGAAAAAATGAAGAGCACTTAGCGTCAACTACAGGAAATTCCTCCCATTACCAAGAAAGTCTTGTGAAAAACTGTTAGTGTGAAGCGTCGCAGGAGCAACATAAACGCCTCTAACTTGTCCCTTGTGTGTGTGAGAGGCCACCATAACACTCGTTAAACAAGACAACCATGAAGTAGGTGGCAGAGGTAAACACAGTGCTCTTGACGACGGGCGGCCGCTGCTCGCCACCACCAAGTGAGGTTCTCAAGAGACCAAGGGAGACTATGGCCCCCAAGTTCCTTCTGCTGTGCCTGCTGTTGAGTCTCTTCCTCTCCGACCTCGTGGACGCTCTCTGGTGGTGAGTACACAGGCTAGTTAACATGAGCCTCTACTGACGCCAAACAGGAACTCCTTTTTTTTTTAGGTATCACTTGAAGATTAATGAGCCCAGCTTATTTCACCTGATGACTAAACACCTTCACGCTACCTTGAGGGGTGTTAGGTTAGGTTAACGTTAGTGTGATTAATCTTAAGGTGAAATAAGGTGGGGTGTCTAATCTTCACGTGATCCTTTTTTTACTAGTGCCGATCAAAGGTTGACTTGGAATTATTGTGTGTGGTGAGTCTCGTCGTAATGATGTGGTCTTCTGGTCGGCCGTGAGCGGTAATGGCTGTACCATTCCTAAGACGGAGTTTATGACTTCCTCTTACTATTAACTCTCAAGTACAGTACAGTGAATGGCAATATATACGGGTCATCTCAAGTGTCGCTTCCTAGCTTATTTCACCCTCAAGATTAACCACCCTAACGCTAACTTAACTTAATCTAAGCACTTTGACCTAACCTAACCTAACCACCCTAAATCTTACCTAACCCAATTTAACCCAAGACTAATCTAACCTCTCTTCAGGTATCATTAAAGCGGTTAATCATCAGATGAAATAAGTTTTAAGCGTCTAATCTTCAAGTGATTCGTACCTTTACTTGCAGGGGGATTGTCAAGTAGTGTCCAGGCAGGTGTGAGCTCTTCTGTAAGTCGGTGTTCTCGATGTAATAGTGACTGGTAAGTGTATTTTTTCCTCTGTCTGATAACAAGGAGATCTTCAGGAGCAGGTGTGGAGAGTGTCTTGTTTTTGTGTGTTGTGGTGACCTGGGAGTGGCTGTCAAGACGACTTGTGAATGTCAGTGAGCAACTCCCACATGTCATGACTGTGTGTGTGTGTGTGTGTCGCGTTGATCTAGGTGTGGCTGTCAGGGCAACAAGTTAATTGTCTGTGGGCAGTTTCCAGGTGTTTTGGTGGTGGAGTGGATGGGGGGGAGGGGATGTATTGCGTGTGCTGCCGGCAGGCCTGGCTGTGGGTGTAGGTGTGGGTGTGGCTGTGAGGGTGTGGATTTGGGTGCGGACGTCAACACAACTTGTGAATGTCACTGGAATTAAAAACAAAACAAAAACTCACTGACAGTTTACCAAGCTTATGGAAGATGCCCACTTACTTAAACAACTCATTACTTAAACAACTCATTACTTAAACAACTCATTACTTAAACAACTCATTACTTAAACAACTCATTACTTAAAGAACTCATTACTTAAACAACTCATTAAACAACTCTTGATGGTTTAGAGGCAACAAGGGATTAAATTACCCCCAGGAGGCAAGTGTTGCTCAGGGGGACACACTGGATAACCACTCCTCTCACTGCCACTTAAATTTGTAATCGATGCGAGAGAAATTTATCCATGCATGATATCATCTCCTTTGTTGTAACCCTCCTCGGAGAACTTGCACACCCTCGTCAAAAAAAAAAAAAAGGTCTCTCATATTATCGTAAATCATCCCAGAATATTAAAAAAGGTCTCATATTATCGTAAATCATCCCAGAATATTAAAAAAAAGGTCTCATATTATCGTAAATCATCCCAGAATATTAAAAAAAGGTCTCATATTATCGTAAATCATCCCAGAATATTAAAGAAAAAGAAATACGTCAACCCCGTCGATGTGTTAAAAACCTACGCCTTTTATCACTCTTTAAGCCATAAACGTAAAAGGAACATTTTTATTGTAGCTGGGCAAGTCGTAACTTTAATGCATCAAGACCGATCCCCCTTGATCCCCCTTCCTCTCTGACCCCCGACCCTCCCTGACCCCTGACCCTCCCCCTGACCCCCTCCCTCCTCTCTGACCCCTGATCCCTCCCTGACCCCCCCTGACCCTCCTGACCCCCTTCCTTCTGACCCCTGACCCCTTCCTGACCCCCCGACCTCCCTGACCCCCTTCCTCTGACCCCCTGATCCTCCCTGACCTCTTGACCCCGACCTTTTTGTTACCATATGTTTTGAAACTCAATATATCCGGCCAATAGACGGGATAATGGAGACGGGGAATATGAGTGGAGGGAAGAACTTGAGGCTTAGTGGAGTGTTTTGTCAAGTTTAAACAGTATCACCTTACCACCACTGACCGTCCGTCCGTCCGTCTGTAAACTGTCCCCCCTCTCTCTCTCTCTCTCTCACCTGTAGTCATTTGCATAAGTTGTCGGTCACAGTATCAGAGAGAGAGAGAGAGAGAGAGAGATCACCTAACCACAGTCATTACATGTTACTTTGAATTCTGCTTTCTCGTAACAGATCACTAGAGAACACAGCAGACAGGTATGTTCTCTATCCCCGTAACAGATCACTAGAGAACACAGCAGACAGGAATGTTCTCTATCCCCGTAACAGATCACTAGAGAACACAGCAGCCAGGTATGTTCTCTATCCCCGTAACAGATCACTAGAGAACACAGCAGACAGGTATGTTCTCTATCCCCGTAACAGATCACTAGAGAACACAGCAGACAGGTATGTTCTCTATCCCCGTAACAGATCACCAGAAAACACAGACAGTTGTGGTGGAGACGCTACTTCACCGTGGTTATGGCCGCCCACGCCGTAAAGGATCAGTTAGACACGTCCTGCAGTAATCAGACGGAGAGAATCAAACTTAAGACTTGGTGAATTTTGCTAATGTCAAGGACTTTTTTTTTTTTTATCTCGGATTTATTTTGTTTTCATTGATTTTTTTGTGTTTTTTAAATTTATAAAGTTTGTAAATGATGAAAAAGGTAAAGATATTACTACTAATAATGATAATGATGATGATAATAATAATACTGTAATAATGATGGAAAATAAGTTCTATGCACAGTATCAGTCTATCTATCTATCTATCTATCTATCTATCTATCTATCTATCTATCTATCTATCTGTCACCTGTCTTAATTGTCTATAAATGTTTTTCGTGTTTGTTTTTACCAGGTACGTGTTAACTAGGGTGTGGCTGTGGTGGGGGAGTGGTGGGGTAGAGGTGGTGGGAGGGAGGGGTGGTGGGGAGGTGGTGGTGGGAGGGGTGGTGGGTATGGTGGGAGAGGTGGTGGGTATGTGGGAGGGGTGGGGATGGTGGGAGAGGTGGTGGGTAGGGTGTGGTGGTATGTGGGAGGGGTGGTGGGTATGGTGGGAGGGGTGGTGGGTGGGTATGTGGGAGGGGTGGTGGGTATGTAGGGAAGAGGAGAATAGATGGTAGGGAGATGGATAGGAGGGAGAGAGGGAAGGATGGGAAGGAAGATAACGGAAGGGAGAGAGACCAAAAGAAGAGAAAAGGATGTAACAGGCAGAGGAGAGAGAGAGAGAGAGAGAGAGAGAGAGAGAGAGAGAGAGAGAGAGAGAGAGAGAGAGAGGTGTGCCCCCACCTCTCGTCGCTGCGTCACTCTCCAGGTCAAAGTTCAGGAAATGCAGACCACAGTGATCAGTCTTGCTGCCCCTCCCTCTGTGTGTGTGTGTGTTATTTTTTTACAAATTTTGTCACGTGTAGTGGCTAGTTTATTGTGCACCTCATATTCATCCTGTGAGCGGTAGTGCAAAAGGATGTGTATAACAGACTCCAGTGGTCAGGATATTATGGCATTGAATATTACAGAGAATTTCAAGATAATACAGCTCATTCTTTGTTAGTTTAGATGGTGACTTATTCTCAAATGGGTGAGTACAGGAGTGTGAGGCAGTATGTCTGGCCGCACACTTTGTTATTCACATATGCGTGATAATTATTCTAATACATAGTGTGTTTGGTTCTATACAAGGAAATGATATAGCTACTGGGTGCCCCCCCAAAAAAGATATGGATGTAATCTTACTGTCTTGCCACTAGAGATAAAGTGCTCTTCCTAAAGGTTCTATCTTCACACAGTCAAGGACGTAGTTTTCAAGTGTGTGGCTATACAGTATATTTGACCGCACACTTTACATTTAGTTTTGTTTACATCTGCCTGATGGATATACTGCCAGTGGTACTTATATCCTAACCTTAGTCTAGCGGTTACAACATCTTGTAATCTAGTGATCCTGTAACCTGCTCCATATACGTGTTTCACTTGATACATCTCATCCTGGTAAACAATGGATTGACTATTTCCTGTGTGCTCTTTGTCTGCTTGCGTCAAATTTATCACCAAGTTCTTTCCTGGTTTCAGTTTTAAGGGTTAGTTGTACAGTATGTGTGATACAAAACCGCCTCACTTCAGTACCAACACGAGAATGGCGGCCTTAAAATGAATATTATGTTGTCAAACCTCCTCTGAGACTCTATCGTAATCTCAAACCTTCTCCCTCATCTCAGGATTACCAGCACAGATTTACCTTTAACCTATCTGATAATCTGGTTTAGGTTATTTATAATTCGCCACAGTGGGTGTAGTGCAGGCGGGCCAGAGCCCATATCGGGACCCGTTAGCCAGGAGTGACGGAAGCCGACCCATACCACAGATCTGCCTTTCGCTATCACTTTGGGGGAGGAGGTGGAGTGGGCTAAGAGGTAGGGTGGGTAGGGGAGGTTCAGACGGTCCACAGTGCCCCGGGAGGTTGAGGGACCTTGCCGATAACGTTAACTCGTTCTACAGGTTTTATTTTATTTTATTTCATCCCTTTAGAAGAAAACAGTTACGAGTCGTAGCTGTCAGTCTGAGTGTTGTTTAGGTTTTTGGGTTGTTTCACTCCCAGGCTTCTCTCCGCGTGTTGTGTGTGTCGTATGTAATGTGTATGTGTTTATTTGTGTGGGTGGGTGTGTAATGTGTGTGTGGGTGGGTGTGTAATAATGTGTAATGTGTGTGTGTGTGCCGAGATATCCTCATTACCCGAGCCATGCGTGGTTCAGACCACTGCGACACTGGTCATCGGCTCGTCAGAGCCAAACTCTCACATTCATGTTGCTCAAAACCGATGAAGGCAACAAAAGCCTCCAGAAAAGGTGAGTGTCTAGAGCAGGGGTTCTCAACCAGGGGGAAACTGATTCGGGAGCAAGAGATATGTTCGATG